CATATCTTTCCTATAATGATAAGGTGGTCTGGCTTCCCCAGGATTATTTTGAAATTGTTAGTTAATTTCCATTTGTGAAAGAGAGCCCTTTTCCTCCTGACTTTATTCTTTATTTCAATAGTAAACCATCTTAGTTGCAGTTTCCTAGATTTAGTTTTGCTGGAAACAGGTATGAGGTCCTCTTGCACTTGCAACAATGTGCTTTTAAAAAATTCCCATGTCTCTTCAACCGTTTTGCTATTTAACTCCATCCAGTTTACAGTTTCTAGTTTCAGTCTCATTCCATTAAAGTTAGCCTTCCTCACATTGTATATCTTTGTTTTGGACTTTGCTCTTCGGACACTAAAATTAACCTCAAATTTAATCATATTGTGATCACTAACACTATTGTGATCACTAAGTGGTTCTAAAACCTCAAATTTTCCAATCCTATCCTGGTTGTTAGACAAAACAACATCAAGAAGGGCATCTTCTCTGGTAGGGGTATTAACAAACTGAGTAAAAAAACAATCCTGTACTAATTCCACCATCTCAATAGCCAGCCCTGTGAGTGCCAGTGGTTGCACTGAAGTCACCCATGACCAGAGGAGTGTCACCTCATGGGCACCCTTCAACCACCGAGCGAAGCTGTGAGTAAAAGGTCTCCCTCAGTGAGACTTCACTCACCGCGGTCGGAGCATACACTGAGACGACAGACAAGACACCCAAACAGTGCCTTAGCCTGAGTCTCATAATACGCTCGTTGAAAGGAGTGACATCAGACACCATCGGAAGGAGCCGATCTGCCACAGCAACAGCGACTCCCTGAGTATGGCAGCTGTCAGAGCAACCAGACCAAAAGTAGGTATACCCACCTACAGAGATGTGGCCAGCCCCGGTCTGCATACCTCAGAGAGCGCTGCCACCAAAACACAGAGTTTACGAAGCTCCCCCCACAGCATACAGAAAGATGGACATCGTGCCGGAGAGACACCCGGATGGGCCGCCTCAAACTGGGACCCGAGTGCCAGCATGCAGCAGGCGACACCTCAGCACCACACCAGCCCCGATCCCCAACAGGCCTGACCCTATTAGCTCTCCGATGGTTTCAACTCTTCCAGGGATGAGGCTCCTGAAGACATTCCCCCATACCCTTCATGGTGTGTGCAGCCTTCCTATGGGCGGCTGCAGCAGACCTACTCCCACAGAGAGCAGAAGGGTGTTGTTCCTATTTGGCCCTAACTGCAGTGAAGTGGATTTCTGAAATAAATTACCACGCGTCTCAAACCAAAGACAATTCTTTGCTAGATTCTGTCAGTTACACCCGTAGCCTGACCCACATTCATTAATCCTTTGAAATAAATTGCATGCTGCCTCACTTATTTGAGTGTACAGGTACACTGACGAGGCAATACATAGCACACTGAGAGACAGGGCTACAAATCATCCATCAAAGAGGTGAAAGGTACGCCACAAATTTATCTGTAAAATGATGAAAGGTACGCCACAAATTCATCTGCAAAACGGTGAAAGGTACGCCACAAATTCATCTGCAAAACGGTGAAAGGTACGCCACAAATTCATTTGTAAAACGGTGAAAGGTACGCCACAAATTCATCTGCAAAACGGTGAAAGGTACGCCACAAATTCATCTGCAAAACGGTGAAA